GGTAGCAGCAAACTTACTGCAAACTGCCTGTTTGCTGCCCCTGGTTGCTTAAGGAGTCTCCTTTTATACCCTCCTGAGCCTGGACTTGTTCCACCCCCTGGTTAGGGCTTTTGTCAGACACAGGCATCACACAGCTAGCAGCACACCCAGCTGCTCAGAGCACACACCCAAACACAACCCACCAAACAAACACTCAGAAAGGCAAACACACAGCCCTGACTCACTTACCTTCCCAGAGCAGGATCTGGTTCCTGGTGTCTGGCTCCTCTTCCTCTTCCCCTTGCTCCTCTTGCTCCCAGTGAACTGCTTGTACAATATTTATTACTGCATAAAGGTCATGTTGTGCATGCATGACAACACTTTGCAGAAATGCTGTTGCAAAGAGTTCTCCACGCATTTTCTTTCTGTCCCTGCAAAAGAGGGGTGTGAGGTACCAGTGGGAACACCAGAGTCCTGACTCATTTCCTAAAGCCAAATCAGTGCAAGCCAACTGGATGGCACCTTAGTACTGATTAGCTGAGGTCTGGCAATTGCAGAAGAAAGATTCAAACTTCTGGCCACAACATTTCTAGCCATCAGGGTCTTTTGTGGCATGCTCCTTCATAGGAGTATTTATTGGGTATCATTGATAAGCCAAGCTTTCCATTTGTCTTTACAGAGATGCTCAAAAGCTTCCTGATAGACTGAGTAAAGGGTTGCAATGGCACAAGGTTCAGGGACAGATCAAGTGTCTTTCAACATATGCCAGAAGTGACCAAAAGTTTTTATATCTGACTTCTGCTTTATGGCCAGTGCAATGACCTGGTGCCTCTTCCACTCCAGCTTGACTGGCATCCCCATAACAAAGCCTCCCCAGAGAAAGCACCCATACAGACAACTCAGCAAGGAAGTGTAGATATAAATAAGCTGGGGCACTGATGTGGTCATTGAGCCTTGACAAAGCAGCACTGGACTGGAAGATGTCTGTTGCCCTTGTTGTAATGATGAGGGTTTTAGGCTGGTGTGGGGAAGTAGCTAGTACCATGGGGATAACCCTCTGGGGGCTAGCCTGCTGCCACTCCTGGTTCCCAAAGCAGTACTTTCCCTTTTCATCAAGGCAGGTGGACAGCAATATGATCAGCTATAACCACTAGTTCTGAGCTGCCAGGAAGCTCCAGGAATAGGCTCCAGGAAGGGCCCCCTCCATCCTGTAGCTTACAGGGAAGTGGGTCAGACAAAGATGCAGGGGGCGTATGGGCCTGGGATCTCAAGGGGAATTTGCTTTTTTCTGCAGAAACACCCAGAAATCATTACTAACTGCAACTAGAGATGTAGACTAAGCCCCTAGTTGATTATGTAGTTTTAGGAATAGGTTTGACAAGGACTTGAATAGGGCAGTCTTGGTAGGGATGAGCAGGGGGCTGGACTAGCTGACCTCTGGAGGGCCCTTCCAGTCCTGCTTTCCTATGATTCTGTGAATAGCTGCAAGGGGGACTGGGGAAAGGAAGAGACCCTGGGCACATACACTTCACTATGCTTGAACAATCTTACCATGAGACAGAGATCACCAGGCCTGGAACCTGAGGAAATCATTGATGGTCCCAGGGCTCAGCTTCAATGTGGGCAGAGGGGCAAATCTAAGAACCCCAGACAGGGTTCCCAGGACTTTGCCTGGGCCTGACTAACAGGGAGCTTAAGGGGCATTTATACACATACTTCTTTTCCAGCGATGTGCCAGAGATCTGCCACATGTGAGCTGAGGCAAACTGCACTGTGCTGCATGCAGTTGTATAAGCAGTGAAATGTGCATCAGCGCATAGAAAATGTCAGCTATGCACTTTTAAACTAAAACGCCTCCAAGGTGTTTTAATTCAAAAGTGCGTCACCACCATTTTCTCAGCACTGACATGCATTTCACTGCTTATACAACTGCATGCATTGCAGCACCAGGCACTTTTCAAAGCACCCAACACTGCGATGCATGTATGTGTAAAAATGCCCAAGGCTCCTATATGGCCCACAAGCACATAAAATAAAGTAAGTTTACTTTGCCTCTGCTCAGGCTGGAGCTCACTAATCTAAGCAAGGCCATGGCCTATTTTCAAGCCTGACAGCTGGGCATTTAAAGGTCAGACCCAAAGCCCAGAGGAGAAGCAGGAAAAGCTTTCTTATGGACATGCTGTGGGTACTCTTTGAGAACTCTGCCTCTTCCTGTCTGGATTTTTTTCAGCTGATACAATTCCATTTCTGGTCAGTTAGCCACCAGGACTCACTTTGAAGTGCATAGGGGGAGCCAGAAAAAGGAAAAATTTGCATTGTTCTGGCAGTTCCAAGTAGGGAAGAAGAGAGGAAAAGTTTAGCCTGGATCTCAGAGGGACAGAAGTCACCATTCCAGGGTGGGAATATGGTTAGATTAGTCATGCACATGCAGGGCAACAGAAGGGCATTGCTGTCCTATGGGACAGAAGCACAGGCTTTTAGGGCCTGAAGGACTTGTCTTATTCCCTGCTCATTGCTTCCCATGTCTGTAGACTGGGCACACATGCCTCCATCCCTGGTTCAGTGCCACAGGTAACCATTTATCCTACGTAATCTCTCTGTTTACATATTAATTCTCATGAAGTCTGGTAGTGAACTCATTTAGGAAAAGCAGGACCAACTGGGGTATGGTTTATGCGATGGGCCTGTCTATCTTGCTGCCTAGTAAAGAGCACTGCTTGCTCTTGGGTTGAATCCAAATAGGCGGTGTGCTTTCAGCTCTGGAAGGTGGGCTACCACTGTAAGGGTGAAACCCCAAGACCTAGAGTTCTGCATTTGACTTCAGGAAGTCCCAGGTGATCCCAAGCTGTTCTCTCTCAATATCTACAGGATCAGAGATGTGGAGACATTTGAAAATTAGTTTATCTGAATTAATTTTTAAACTACAGTAACACCTCACCATGGAGAATGCTAATTCAGAAATAAATTGGCCATACTTGGATTTACCTTGCTTTGTTTCCGTGGCGAAGTTAAGTTGAATGAAGGCCACTTGAATTCTGAATGAGATTGTTTGCATGGGAGTTCAGTGCAGTTTTAAATGTTTCATTCTGAAGTCACACATTTAATTCATTCAGATTTATTTCCCCCAAATACCCCTATGTAAATAAGCTATAAGACAGTGTCTCCCTTCAGTTACTGAACATGAGATGCTCTGATATTTCAGTATCACAAAAAGAAAGAAGGTGCTGTTAATCCATTTAGAGAGAGCAACCAGAGATCATTAACTCACCCAAGGCTGCACTGGGCACATAGAGCAGGGATGGGAATTAAACTCTGATCCCAGAAGTCCTTGGGTAGCACACTAGCTCCTTGGCAGCGTACCTCACTCAGACTGTCAGCTGCCTCGGGCCTTTGTGGAGCACCTGGATACATGATGCTCTTTCTCCTTATAGCTATCTGCCATCCCTCATTTGAAGCAGTGCATAGTATGCAGTTTAACACCTTGTAGCCCAGCAGGTGACCTGGACAGCTCCTAATGAGAGGGGAGGTACCCAAAGGCACCCAGAACCCTGAACGAAACACACACAGCCCATTCCTCATGGGTACAGCAACATTATCTGGAGCATTCTCCTAATATCTTGGCACACAAGATAACCTCCAGAGGGAGGCTGACTGTCAGGTAAATGCTCCCCCAAGTCCTGGTGAGAAGATGGCATTGCCACAGCCAGTGTTACAGGGCCCCTCAGCAGCCCCTCTCCAAGCTGCGGATATTGTATGACCTCTACAGCAAACAAAGATCATCAGTGAATCTGCAGCACTCTGCTTTCCAAAGTTTCCCACTGCTGCTGTGCACTCCAGCTGGCTGCAGCCTCCCACCTAGCATTTTGTAATCCAGATTAATCAGGAGCTTCCTTAGCTGGATTTATCCTTTAGAGTTGCATTACCTCAGGCTGATGACCGGGGGGGGGGATGGGATGATCTCCTCCATGCCTCCACTCCCATTATCCCCAAGGGAGGTCTTGGCACCTTCCCTTCAGCCCTACCTCTGATGTCTTGGCACAGAGGTCTTTCCTTCAGCCTTACTGCCTGCCCATGAGAGCGTGGGAATGGCCCAAGTTCTCAAAGGGGTGGGAAATGCTCTGCTATAAGTTCCAGCTGCAAACAGGCCTGCAGGCCATTGTTAGGCAAGCTGCACCAAAGCTGTGCTCAGAGCTCACAGTGAAGGATCACCCTGGCCTTGCCAAAGCTCCAGGGGAGGGCTGTGTGTCCTACCTATGACAAGGGTGTCAGGACCTAGGGAGGAGGCCAAAGTCAATTCTCCCTTTCTTATTCTTCATAATAGTGCCTCCTGCTGCTGGGAGACAGCTACAAGCTTTTCCATTGGCTTCCACAGCTGACTTGGAGGATGCATTTAGTGCCACCAACATCAACAGCTCCTTTGGCTTTGAATTACACCTGCATTAAGGAGCCAGGGGAAGGGGATGTATCAGTACGGAAGGGAGCACAAGGGAGCTGACTCACTGCATAGAGGCACTAACACTGAAGCCTTGGGTGTGGTGCCTGAGCAAACACCCATCTGGCTTCCCCTTTAGTGGGTCAGCTGCCTCCTTCTTTGGCACTGAAGTCTCAGACACTGTCTACTACATCTTCTGCTTTTCTCCCTGTCCTTGCTATTTACTGCAAGTGCCATCTGGAAATAGAATTAAAAGATAGGGTCTATATGCTCTCCTGTATTTAGAGATGGGAAAAAGCACTATAAGAACCCCAAAGTGTCACTTATGGTGCTGGAGAAAAGGTGTTTACAGCTAGTGGGTTAGTGATCTCTGATTTTTTTTTTAATTGGCCTAAAAGAGCAGCAAAATAGAAATAGAAGAGCATTTGGTAACAAATCTATAGCCCCCATCATCATACTCTTTCCATAGTCATAAATCAAGAATATAATATTCTCTGGCTCCTCAGAGTCAAAAATAGTTCTGGGGAAAAAAGAAAAAAAGGCAGCTGCTGAAGTGACCTCAATGAATCAGCAGACACTGCTTGTTTCAAGTTTAAGATCACTTTTATTTTCAGTCTTTTTTTGGTGAGAGAATTTTTAGGTTTCTGCCCAGTAACATAGATTGAATAACTGTAGTTATAGTTCACATACTGCAGCATAAGAAGTGTGATCAGGAGTACAAAATCTGTGGAAAGGTCTATACTGGGCAAGGGAACCTTTTTAGGAGGGAATATTTATTTTGGCAGGGGTTTTTTGTTTTGTTTTGTTTTTTACACAGAACCTGGAAGTGGATTTTATACCACAGGCAACAGAAATGTACAATGTGAGAGCTTCCCAGGGCAGTATCTGGCCTTGTGCAGGGGAGGTGGGGATTACTTGCTTGGAGTATCCTTGTGCTTATTGAAGTAAGACATCTTCCTTTTCCTGAAGAGCCTAACCCAGTTCTTCCAACACTGCCCCAGCAGGATCAAGCCTGGTGTCTGAGCTGAACTGTGTGTGTCTGCCAGTCAAGCTCCCCGACATGATGAGACAAAAAGGAGCTTGCTACATGGAAGGGGGAGGACACTGCTGCACAAGCAAAGGACGGTTTTCAACAATGCCCACTTAGAACATGTTCAAACATTTCCTGCAACCCATTCAGCATAGCATCATCTATCACAATGAGGTAAGAGGCTACTGCTCTGACAATTTTAAACAGCACAAAAGGGGGAAGGGGAGGGGAGGGAAGGGGAGGGGAGGGGCAAATTTATCCTAGTGGAAGTGCCTTTGGATCCCAAGGGTCACAGCAGGAGCCACCTCAGCTCAAGTTGTCACAAAAAAATGCATTTTAATGTTTACCATTGCCAAGAAACCTGATAATGAAAACAATCTGGGAAACTATCTCCTTCAATTCGGACCCCTGCTGCCTAAGCTCTGGGATGCCTTCAAAGATGGCAATATAGACAGACTTTCTTAACCCCAATTCATTTTGAGCCTATACTTAGATTTAAAACCGAATTCCGAAACTTGATAGGGAGGGTGGGGCGCAAGGGACAGAAGAGAGAAGTCATGTTGAAAAATCAACCAGTTAACCCAACTCTGGCCTTATATTAAGCAGCCATCAGATGCATGGAACTATAGAGCCAAATTCACCTCTGGTGAAACTCTACTGACATTAATGCAGTGACACCAGGGCTCTCTGAGACCAATACTGCCATAGTGCTTCAGGAATTCTCCATATCAGCCGCCAGAGTGGAATGTCTCCTAGGAACGAGTGCACACTAAAGCTTTCTGTGCACCAAAGCAGCACAGTGGGATTCAGTGAGTTTGTTCACCATGCGGGACATTTAATGGAATATGTGCTGACACAGCTCTTACCTTTCCACCCTCTCACAGATGAGGTATGTGAAGCTCTGCACATTTTCCATCAATAGACACAAGCAAAGTAGGAAGTGGTAGGGCTACTGTCATTTGACTGGACTAGTTTCTCTTTAGTCATAGGCCCCTGCTTTTACATGCAATTCAAGGTGTAGCAACCTTTTGCCACTAAGGGCTACCGCTTGCAACCCAGTCCCTGCCATGAACTGTACTGCTGCAGCCTCCTGGTGATCAACAGATGCCACAAAGGGAATAGATAGAAAAAGGCAGGAACTAATGCCCTGGGGACACCTCCTCTGCTGCTTTGTCTGGAGTGTGCTGCTGATTCCCTGAGCTGCTGTGGGCCAGATCCAGTCTCTTCACAGGCCAGGCCCAGCCCAAGGGCCATAGGTTTCTGACCCCTGCCTTACACTTTTGAGCCTTTCTGACCTGTTTTGATAGGATACAGATCAGCCAATGACCAGAGAAACCAGAACTTGATTAGTGAACACAATGGTGTGCTCTCTGGTTGACAGCATGTCTACTGTTGGGAGCTGAATTCACCATTAATGTTAATTCTTGGAGCAGGTCATTCTTAGGGACAGCCAGCAGTCTCCATCCTCCTAATAACACACTCCCAACAAACTGCTGGAGCTCCTGCACACCTGGTGGTTCTCACGCTATAGGGCAAGTTACTGCTGGATGGTAGCAGTTCATTATCTCTCCTGGAAGGTAGACAGAAAGCAAAATGCCTCTCCAACTCCTCAACCAGCGACTCTGAGCCATCGCTGTTCCTTGGCCTGCCATAGATTGTTCTGACTGAGCCATCTAGCTCATCATGCTCCCTGTCGCTCTGCTCAATGCCTCAGCACCATACAGAAGTGAGATCATCTCCACAAAACCATCCTGCCTCCAGTTAGCTCTGGGTGGCAGGAGCTTCTTCATACTAGGTTTTTATTTTGGTTTTCTTGGGAGTTAGAAGAAAGCAATGGATTCTGACTCAGTAGCCCAACTCCTTGCTTCCCGTACAACTCCCCAGAGATGAGGGACTCTCCAGAAGCAACTACTCTTGCAGGCTGGTGAACAAGGTCTGCCCAGAGCATAGCAGACTGGAGCCTGCTTTGTGAGCCAACACCATGGGTGAGGGATACCAAAATACAGTGATGTATGCTCAAATGTACCAACCACAAAACAAGAGCCCATGTTTCTCATGCAGAATATTGCACTGAGTGTTCACTAATGCTAGGAGCTTGAAAACTGCATAGAAAATTAAATGGCTTTGCATATTACAAAAATAAAGATAAAATGCATCTTTAACGCTAGTTACTGAACAGGAGAGAAGGTCAGATGAGTGATCCCTCTTTTGCATTACAGAGAACTGAAACTGGAGTGCTCTAAATACTGCCATCATTATGGTAATTATGGCTTTTATGTGCACAGCAAACAGAATCCCTGAGAAGCCATTCACACCATTTTTCTTTTTTGTAGAGCAGCTCTTTCCTGGAGGATGATCATGGTTCTAAGTCCAGGTGGTAAAACATTTGCTCTGTTCCTCAATAGGCCAAAGCTTTTATCTCTTGAAAACAACTCAAAGCATTCTCCTCTGTGCATCCATAGAGCCCCCCTAGTTACTTGGTCCTCCCAGTGGGAAAGATTCCAGTTGTGTGTTTTCTTTGTTCCATATGACATCACAGCAACAAGTCACTGGTTCTCCCTATGGGGAAAACAGAAACATATAAAAGGTAGTTCAGAGATCAGGGGGTTGTTTCCAAATATGGGAAGTGATAGAAGATCCTGGAGAGAAATCCTTCCTGCTTATACAGCCCCAACCTTGGACAGAAGCAAAACTGGTGGCGACATGGGTGTTCTAGGGCCCTCCAAAACCCTCTAGAACTCACTGGAAAGTACCAAGAGCTGAAGAACCTGCAGATGATAGAAGAGGCCTTGCCATTATGCCCCTTTGGACAACTGTGATCATCTTCTCTAGTCTCCCCACTCTCAGCCCTTCACCATTTGCAAGCAATTGCTTATGGGTTTTGAGATAGTAACAAGATCACAAGCGTAAACTTACATTAGTGCGCCAAAGGGGATTTAAACCCATATACCCCAAGATGACAAGTTAGTGAATTAAACCACCTTGTCAGAGCTTTACCTCCCACCCTGCCCCCAATATTCTATTTTCAGAGCAGCCAATTTTTAACTGACCCAGAACTTTATTGGAAGTTTTCCTCTGAAACCAAGAGAGACTTCCCATAAAAAAGGCCTTCCAAACAATCTTACACTCGGATGAGATTTGTTAAATTAAACCAACTTCTGTCATCCAGGTTGCTCAAATGATGAAGTAGGAAATTCTGTATCTTTATCCATTTTAAAATGTATTTTCAGTTAAAAACATAACTCGTCTTTCTTAAACAAAATGCATCTATACATGGGTGTCATCGCGTCATGCTCCCCACAGATTCTGGCCATTATACATGCAGTTACTTAGGACAAGAAGTTAGCTTGAAGCAGATCTCCACACAGGAAGGGCCTAGGACTTGGGGAGTTTCTACAGCAGCAATTCTTAACCAGGATGGTATGGCATCATTAGGTGCCTTGAGATCCTTTCAAGGGTGCCCTGGGATGCTATGCAAATGTTAATACTATTAGGGGTACAAACAAAATTCATAAAATAAACCCAGAGATTTCAGAGAGGAATGCATAGTGTCCAAAACATTCAGACCTGCTGTGGTCTTCCTGAGTTCTTTGCAACAGAAAAACTGCTCTATTATTTTTCTGTAGATTAAAAAAAAAAAAAAAAAAAAGAGTGAAGACTAAGAATTAACATTTTCCAAGGGGTACCTTGAGTCTAAAAAGGTTGAGAACCACTGCTGTACAGCAGAGATGCACCACAACTGATGATTCAGTATTCATCTGATGTGGCCCTGTGATGCTTGGTAGGCCTGTGCAAAGCGGTGAGTATTTGCTTCAGATTCGGCTGATTTGGAGGGACAGTGATTTGATATGGAGATTCAAATCACTGTCCCAATTCGATTCAGCTGACTCAGATCTGAAGATTCAGCACTGGTCTGAAGATTCAGCCATAGACTAAACAGGCAGCAGTCCTCACCACTCACCTGCCTGCCGCACCTGCATCGGCACTGGGAATGGGGGCTCTGTCCTGCTGCCGCTTGCCAGCTGACACGAGAGGCACAGGGGCCAGGTGCTGCCGCCACTTGCCCAGCCAGCGCAGGGGAAAATGGGATGCAGGCACAGCACCGCTGGGAGCAGGGGCTATACCCTGCAGCTACTTGCCTCCTTCTGCCCAGAGCAAG